GGGATGCACGCCGAAAGGGATGGGGATATCTCAGAATGAACAATACAAACTGACCAGTTACCTTCCTCCATTTACCTTCATGGGACCTTCAATCCAACTAGAAGATATCTTCGGGAGGTCTACAAATACTGGTACACAATCAGTTGTTCTCTCTTAATCCATGGTCCTAAGCAATGTACCATGCATATCACTGATGAAGGTGCTGCAACAGGTCAAATGTATGAAATATAATGAGTGACAATAGCAAAAAAAGGTGGATATAAACAATCCCTTAGAGCACATTTTGTAGTTCTGTTGATTGCACAGTGACAGTAGTTGCTGTAGAGAAAAAGGATCAGATAGTGTACCCAAACAATTCAGTTGTGTTTTTAAAAACACAGCATTTGTGTGCAGACAAAAAATGGCCAGACCAAAAACAGATATACAGACACACTGAAATGCTGTCTTCCATAATTTTTCCAACCAGAGATAAACTCTTTATCAGACACAAGACTCCAGGTTTGCCCCAAAACGATGAACTACCGGGACCTGACAACTCACCAGGGAATGGTCAAGAAAGAGGTATGTTCAAGCAAAGACAAAACTTCTTATCATCATGCATTATGCAAAAATCAATATGATAATAAAGTTACAGGATCATTTGATGCAAGGCAGCAATGTTTACAAAGAGATGAAAGTGTCACTAGATGCTGAATGACGGGGAAAGTCAGTGTAAGAGTAAATACAAAGGTTTTCTAGCAAAAGAAGAATCTTCTTTTCCACTTCTCTCTGACAGAACGGGCCTGTGTTTCCAAACCCCATCACCCAAATGAATCTTGCAGCCATCTTCTTTTACCCTGCAGTCAATCAACAGCAATCTGTACAAATGGATCCAAACCTGGGCACAGCTCATCGAGCACTTGAATTCAACACTGACTCACAGGTAGAGTAGACGTTGGATTAGAAAACATTTGCTCCATCTTAAATCTAGTTGCACTCTACAATATAGAATTGAAATGTTTTTGTGCTTCACTTTTTGTATTTTTGCATTTTATGCAAAACTGGTGCAGGAGAAAATAAAAAATTATAGTTACAATACTTAGATTACAAATTATACTATGATGGACCATTAGTGCAGACACTTCCTCTCCTGTTTTCTCCTCAGGATGACTCCATGTCTCTGGATTCTTTCAGTCTTCTTGGCAATGCACTGCCAGCAGTCAAACCAAAACCTGAACCCTCGAACATCTCTTTAGTATGGGACACAAACACACATTTAATTTCTTTTTCATGTGTTACATAATCATTAGCTCTCACTCGTCTTCAAATGGTCCAAAATGCTGCTGCTCCTCTTTTAACAGGTACTAGGAAATTTGACCATATAACCCCGATACTGGCCTCTCTTCACTGGCTTCCAGTCCATTTTAGAATTCATTTTAAGCTATTGATTTTTGTTTTTAAGGCTCTTAATTGTTTAGCACCACCCTACCTCACTGAGTTGGTGAGGTGGCGTGAACCGACTAGATTACTCAGATCCTCAAGCCAGTTTCTTTGAGGTTCTCAGGGCCAGACACAAACACTGGGATGACCGTGCTTTTATTGTTGCAGCTCCTAAATTGTGGAATGGTTTACCTTTTAATGTTAGATCCTCTACAGACTTGACAACTTTTAAATCACTGGTTAAAACATATTTATTCACTTTGGTTTTTAATACATAGTATTGTCTGATGCTTCCTTCTTTTAACAGTTGATTCTGTGTAGTTCATGTTTTGTAGTTCATGGTTATGTTCCTATGTTGTTTTATTTCTCTATTGATATAATTTATTCTGGTTTTTACATTGCCCTTGTAAAGTACTTTGGTCGACCAGACGTTGCTTTTAAAGTGCTACAGTATATAAATAAATTTTGATTGATTGATTGATTAGCTAGCACTGTGTTGTACACAGACTGACCACTGACCATTATTCAAAAATGATTTATGTATAATGTCAAAGTTGTAGGATGAGTTAATGCATTAGGAAAGTCAGGTTAAAGTGTCATAAAATGATTGAGCAGGTATCATGAAATCCCATCTGCCATTTTCTCTGACAGCCTACCTTGATGCCAGCGACTCACACTCTCCCCACTCAAATGAATCCTGCAGCTGCAGAGGCCACAGGGAGCGAGACAATCAAATCATGTATGCATTATAATTGTGTTTATTTGTAGCAGGAACAGAAGCAGAATATATAGAAACAATGCAAAGCAGCAGTGTTTAATAGTGACCCTCTTCTTTCTCTACAGTCTTTCAGACTCCACAGCGTTCTCATCAAACCACCACCAACTTGGATAAAACTCGTCGAGCACTTGATTTCTCCACTGGTGTCAAGCAGGTACCACAGCAGACTCTTCACTTGGTTAAATGAGCTGCTAGAGAGCAAATCCATTATTGTCCTGTGAATCACTTTTTATGCACCTGTATTGGCTCTAGTTTAGCATCATCAGTAGAACCACTGCTGACTGAAGGGTTCTATAGCAAATCAGTTAGGTTTGTCATTATATCACCATTTCCAGCTTAGTTTGAGTGCTTGAATCTTTAGGTGGAGGAACGGATCTGGGCGAGTCCAACAACCATAGCTCTGGAAACAGATGTTTCTTCCCAAGACAAAGAAAAGGAGAAAGAACAAGAGGCTCACAAACTACAAAAGGTACTGCCTTTAATAATACAATATACTGTTTTCAGTCAAAGCCAGAAGGATAGCTCTGGGGATAGAAATATGAGTTTAGTGATACACCAGTCAGTCCACCACTTTGGTCCAAACTCAAATAGCTCAATAACTTGCACGCTGACATGAAATTTTGTACATTAAAGGTTAACAGGTAATTTATGCTACTTTTCTTAGCAATAATGGAGTCAATGTTTGTGGTTTGAATATAAAAAGTACTGATTTTTTTATTAACTTTTGCATCTGCTGCATTATCAGGTCAAAATGGAAATGTGTCCAATACTTTGGATTATGATCTGCACATCACGTGGCAATGACATCAGTCCCAGCTTTAATCAGTGATTTGGGCTAATTAGCAATTCTTAGCATGCTAACATGCTAAACTAAGATTGTGACCTGCTACACATCAGCATGTTAGCATTGTAATTGTTAGTATTTAAGTGCAACCTCACAGAGGTGCTAGCATTGTTTTATAGTGTCAGTTTGACTCTGTTGGATATCTTACATGTACTCTTTGTTGTAATCACAGATAAGACAAGCTAGTCTAAGGGCTGAGTTACAGCAGAAAATTCAAATCAGACAACGCAAGGTGAATGAAGTCAATTCATCTGTTAAAGCTTGCAAGGTACTGTATGCTGCACCACATTTGACTTTTTAAAAAAAATTATGAGTTTGATTAATACAGTGTGTTTGTAACATTTCCACTGTCCACCACTCTGTTCAGGGCAGTTTGGATGCTGAGTGGGTGGAGATCAACAGTGTGTTCTCAGAGGTGATAAAAGTTGTAGAGGATGCTCGACAGAAGGCCCTTCAACCTCTGGAGGACAGGTTGGTCATGTGTAGCTCAGTAGCAGTGGTAACAATTAGGAATTGTATTCTCTGTGCGGGTTTATCAGTGGAGCAGGTCTTTAATGTCTTTAATGTACTGCACCATAACTGTCTATTTTAAAACTAACCACCTAATGTACTGGATGTAGGAGACGGAAAGTGAAGAAAGAAGCACAAGATCTGGTCCGGAGCCTGGAAGGAGAAATTGGTCAACTTAAAAAGGCCATTGACGAGTTAGACAAAAACCCAGACTTGCAGGTAACATCCCAGCTCTCGGCCTTTTACAACAAAAATAAAACTACAAGTGCTTTGATTTTATAGTGACAATGTGACATTTTCCCCTCGTGGACACACACACAGGTCTGCCCTCCAACTGGCCTGGATGAATCTAAAGACTGGACAAATCTGAGTGTTGACACTTCCTTTTCCTTCGGAACCATAAGAACTACAGTGTCAGCCATGATGGAACAAATTCACCAGAAACTGGATCAGCTATCTCCAGTTGGTGAGTCTTTCTACTTATCAAGATTCGGATTTCATTTATTCAAGTTCTGTATTTAATTTTATAACTTACTTTAATGTCATTTTGTTTCTACAGAACACAAGAGGATTCCCAAGTTTGCAGGTGTGTGACCTAAAGTTTAAAAATGTGTTTCTGTAAACAGGAAAAAATGATGATTGTACTAGATCGTGATTCAAAATCTCAGTCCGTATATTGTGTCGATAGTGTAAAGACACTATAAAGGAAGATAAATTTAAGGTTTTGTTCCAATAGCTAAAGGCCCTTTGGTAAATCACTGATAAAGATTTCACATTCATCACTGTGCTTGTCTTGCTAATTTTTGGTGTTACGATTATGTTGACGTAGGGTATTTCTGTGTAAAATAAACATCAGGAATCTTTATATGTTATTGGTTTTGACCTTGACATTGAGTCTGAGTGTGTCCTACAGTATTCGGGTAACTGGAACAACAGGGGAGAGAAAAGGAATGCCACCAGGATTCAGTTTCTGTTATTCTATTGTATTCACCTGCAGCGGATGTAAAGCTGGACCCACTGACTGCTCATCAGTGCCTTGTTCTTTCTGTTGATGGGAAAGAAGTGAGAGATAGAGGAAAGAACCAGAACGTTCCCGATGCTCCAGAAAGGTTTGACATGTATGGCAGCGTCCTGGGGCTCAACAGCTTGACCTCTGGGAAGTCTTACTGGGAGGTGGAGGTCAGCAACAAGACCGGGTGGGATCTAGGCGTGACAAGAGGTGATGCAAACCGCAAGGGGAAACTCTCACTGAATCCAGATAATGGTTACTGGGTTACTGTTCATTTTAAAGACAGTGAGTACGCAGCCCTGACATCACCGCCGCTCAGCCTTTCCCTGAAAGAGAAACCTCAGAAGGTGGGAGTGTTTGTGGATTACGAGGAAGGTCTTGTGTCCTTCTACAGTGTGACGGCTCAGTCTCATATCTACTCGTTTACTGAGTGCTCATTCAGGGGTGAGATCTTCCCATATTTCAGTCCACATCTTGAACAAAATGGGAAAAACTCACATCCTCTGATTATCTCCACTGTGGGAAACCAGTAGTGGATCCATGAAGTGTACTCTTAGAGCTGTAATACAGCATGACATACTATGAGTTCCAAAGAGCTGGAGTGCAGCAGTATAATATATATGTTCCATGATGTATAATACAGATTGTATATGGTTTTATGTAAGTACTATAAGCAGTGCTGACTTTCTAAATATTTCCATTAAAGAGATTGTTACAGGTTTCAATTTAAAATGTAAATAAGAGCCAATAAGAAACCAAAGAAATAGAAATGAACTGCAAAATAGAATATTTTTTGACATGTTATGCCTTCAGTGAATTACATTGAAGAAATGAATTCTCTATCAGTTACTGATCATACATTATAGATAGATGAGAGATTATATTTAGTATTTGCTGGGTACCTTTATTCACATTTGCATATACTGTACTGTAGTGTTTTTGTTTGTTT